TCGAATTTCCTTGCTCTCAAGGGCTCAAATGGTTCCGAATTGATAAACAATTCTCTGAAAGTTTTAGACAATCAAACGTCGTATGGAAATAGCATGAAAAAAATTTAGAAAATTAAAAAAAAAATGTTTAGGTATAACTTAGCAAAAACTTAAAAAAAATTTTTCATGCTATTTTCATACAAAACTTTGATTGAATTGCGCTTTATCTAAAAGACAATATTAAGAGCTAGAACTTTCAGAGAATTGTTTTTCATCAATTTGGAACCATTTGAGCCCTTGGAAGTAAGGAAATTCGAAAATGTCCATATTAAGGACCTCCCTAGTGTATATATATATATATATATAATATATATATATACATATATATATATATATATACATAGATTTGTGTGTGTGTTTGTATATTAATATGACGTAATGTTACAGTACAATATGATTTTTTTTAAAATATTTGAAGTTTTTTGTTTATTGGTTTATTGGCCTTATAATTTCATATATTATCCAAAAAGTTAAAAAATTAAAGTTAACAGAGCAATATAAGGAAATTGATGTTAAGGACTTGTTTAATGATAGCACCTTTATATTAACATAACAAATATATATATATATATATATATATATATATATATATATGTGTGAGCCATGAGCAAATCGACTTTTTGTCTTACATATAGGAACAATGTCATATCAAGTTTTCTTGGATAATGATGTTGCATCACCGGATAAGTTTCAAAATAATTAGGATATAGAAAAATAATATCTTCCTAATATCATCTTCATATATACATATATTATATGTATATATAATTTATTTTATTATGTTAAATTTATTATTGTTAGAAATGTTAGAATTAAGCCGTGCATATTCAACCGGGCAATATGTATTCTTCGGACCTGAATTAATAATGAATTATGAGTTTTTTCAGAAAACTTCGAGTAGGTACTTGAATTTTTATTTTTATAGCTGAATTATATCCTAATTTATTCAAAGAATGTCTTACTAATGGCAGTAACTGCTACTTCTTGTTTGTTAAGATGATCTTTCTCCAGAAGATTGGTTTGTTCATACTTATTAACTTTCAACAAAATTTATCTAAGAATGTAAATTATTAATATTATTGTTTCTTTTCTTGCTTTCTAATCAATTCCACGGGAAGTACGTATTTTCACTTGAAAATTTGATTAGCTAATTTTGTTTTCTTGACGTTTTATGTCATTTAGTATCTTTTGACACACACACACACACATATATATATATATATATATATATATATATATATATTATATATATGTGTATATGTTCTTATAAAAGCATGTGCCCACTCAAATGCTTACGGTAATGCCTTACATAATAAATTATATAATTTTATTATTATTTATATATGGACCACATAATGTGGTATGGTAAATTGCCCGTATAGTCTAAAAATCGCATTGTTAAGAGGATTTGCTGATCCTATTTGAGTGTACCGAAATTATAAAGTACCTGTACAAAAATGGAGAGATACTCATGTGGAATTTAATGATGTATATTGTCACTGCATTCTAGGTTTTGAATTTAAGGTATTATTATGGAGAGGGATTAATTTGACTTCGATTCTTCTTATCGATTTCTTCTTATTAATGTAACGAGTCATTATTTAAAAAAAAAAATTCAAATCTGAACTCGTCAATAATGCATAATATACATAATATACATAATGCATAATATATCAGAATTTATTGGCTATTTAGACCCGTAAGTTGTAGAAACCGTTTTAATTGTCTAATCTTAATAAAAAAGGGTAGTAAATGTATACCTACTCGAAGGATATAATATAAAATTGATGATATGTGCACCCTTGAAGCATTTTATTATTATTATTATTATTAACAACAATACAATCAGAACTTGATAGAGCTATAAATAAGGTTACCATACTGTCCCGGTTTAGCCGGGACAGTCCCGGATTTCCACCTTGTGTCCCAGGTTTTTCTAAGAGCAATATTTGTCCCGGATTTAGATTTTTTGTTCCGGATTGTCCCGGGTTTATGAAAAGTAGAGGTCTAAATGGAATCTTTGCTCTTACTGGATAATAAAATTACAATTACACATCAAATATCTGAAATGTTAACTACAACTAGTATGCTTATATGAAAAAGATGGGTTAAATAAGCCTTTCACATTCTTAATATTGAACTTTTATTTTCAACTTTACGAAAATTGTCAAAAATTATAAAATGAACTTTGGAATGACTGCTTGGAATTGGTGCTAATTATTTTTAAATAATTATGAAGAAAATTTAACAAACATATACATAGATCCAAAAACATAAGATAAAATATTACATATTGTCAAGTAATAAAGTTCTTAGACAGTAATTTTGAATATTTTGACATACTTTAGAAAAAATGAATGTGTGTGTGTGCATGTATGTATGTATGGATACAATTTTTTGTCCACGTTTTCGGGCGCACGGATCAATCGATTTGAATGGTTCAAAAAACATTCGATTTATACTGATAGGGAGATGTGCAGGTTAATTTTTGACAAAGGCAGGTCCAGCCGTTTCAGAGATACGGAGCAAAGAGTGCAGAAAATAGAAATCGAGTTTTTGAGAGAAAAAAGTACACGATTTGAATAATCCAAAAAATATTCAATTCGTAATGATGGAGAGAAGTGATCATTAGGTTTTGACTAAGGCAGGTCTGCCAAAAATGGCAGTTTTTGAGAGAACTAAGCATTTGATTTGAATGATTCAAGAAACTTTCTGCTTGTGTTGACGAAACAAATTGCTTTTGGAGATTTTTTTTTAATTAAAAAAAAAATATTTTTTTTACTAAATTTAATTCTTCGAATATTTCATTATGGTACGAGCAATTCCAGCAATTTGCCTTAAGGCACGATATACCACTACTTTTTACTTTTTTCATTTGATCTCCAAGGCCGCTAGTCTCCGACTTTGAACCTGCCTTTCCAAAAATTTAATCAGTTATTCATTTTGTCAATACAAGTAAAATGTTTTTTGAATTATTGGAATCGTTGATGACATTACGTTGTCTCAAAAACTATATAACCATTTTGTCACTTTTTGCCCCGTATTTTTGAAACAGCTGAACCTGCCTTTGCCAAAAACTAATGCATGTTTCCTTATTAATAGGAATCGAATGCTCTTTGAATTATTGAAATCGGTTGATCCGTGATCTCGAAATAGTCGATGGAAAATTGTATTCGCACATACATACGCACACATATACATATTTTTTTCTAAGACATGTCAAAATGACCAGAAGGTTTTAAAACGTAAAGATAAATAAAAGTTTTCATTTTCGATTTTTTGCGATTACTATATAAATTAGCATACTGGAAGTCAGGGCCGAATTTATAAATTTGGGGCCCTGGGGCACTGACAAAAATGCCGCCCCATCCCTAAATTTTCACTTAAAATAGTTTATATAATTTTTTTTTTTTAATTTAAAAAATAGTTTAAAAAATAACTATGCTTGGCATCGTGCCTTAAGATAAATTGCTGAAACTTCTCGTGCCAAAAATTAAAATTAAAAAAAAAATTAAAGCGATCGGCCTGCTTTAGCTGCGTACAGACAAAATAAAGAAGCGCGTAAGCGCCGCCTCGCAGAGTAACAGATAAATAATTTTACAGAACTCATAGAAATGTAAACAAAATTTATATTATTAAAATATCTGATAATTTGATGTGCATATGGCTAATGATCATTTTTGACCGCTAAATGTTTCTCTTTCAAATTTTTTTATTGGATCACCGAAACCGCTAGACCTGCCTCCCACAAATTCAATCAGCTCTCCATTTTGTTTATATATGTAAATTTTTTTTAATGATATTGGACGTTCCGTTTCTCAAAAAATAAATTATTATTTATGGCATTTTGGCCCGTATTTCCGAAACAGTTGGACCTGTCTTGGCCAATAACTAATCAGCACGTCTCGCTATCAATAGAAATCGAATTATTCAAATACAATTTAATTTCAATTAGTTTAATAAATGAAAATTAATAATTTTCAAAAAAAATTGAAATGTAAAAAAAATTAAAGCTTTTTATAAAATGTAATTTTCAGTACGGAAAGTTTCAATAACTTGCCGTAAGGCACAATGCCATGCGTCATTGATTTAATTTTTTTCGGCGCTATGATCTTGGAAGTGCACAAATTCGTCATCTTAAGAGGGCTCGCGATCTGTAGAATATACTTTTCTTAAACTTTCAACTCACTTACGAATCTTTATATTAGCCAAATTGCCAAATTTTTGCATTGCATTTGCATAATGTTTTGTTAATTATATTTCTTAAAATTACTAATTAAATGTTATTAAAAAATGAGTTAATTATATGGTATAGAATTTTCTTCTCACTATTCAAATTTTGCCGTCCCCGAAAATTTGCCGCCCTGGGCAGTAGCCCCGACTGCCCCTACTGTAAATCCAGCACTGCTGGAAGTTAACGAGTTTTTAAGGATTTTTGGACCCCGCTCCCCCTTCGTGATACATGGTGATATTCAAAATTGCACCTCCCCCCCCCATAATCATCACGTGTATTTTAAGTTACGTGAAAAAACTGAAAAAAAGATTTTTTTTTTGAAAAATGTTTGAATTTTTTAAAGAAATTAGTTAAAAAATAAATACACGTGATATCTTTTATATACCCCTCCCTCCCCCACGTGATATTTCGTGATTTTTTGCAAACCCCCCACTCCCCCTAAAAACCTCACGTGGTTAATGGACGCCCTCTCAGGCATTTTATTAGGTTGTCAAATATCTCCCTTCCGCTTTTTTGCTCTTGGTTTATAATACAAAAAGGCGGAAGGGAGATATTTGACAACCTTATATGTCGAGAACAGCCCGAAAATATTAATTTCGCCAGCTCTTGCATTCGTAATGTTTTGGTTTCGAATTAAGCGCCGTTTAGCGGATTGTTGGTTTAGTTTCAGCTAAATGTTGAAGATGGCTCTCATATCATATCTAATCTATGACACCTGTGAAAGAATTGCCGCTAAATCGTCGACTTTTGTTTTAACTGTCAAAAACGATTTTCCTCAACATATCTCAGTTACTTCAATTATTTTTATTGCCTATATTTAAGTTCAACTCATTGTACTGTTTTTATTATTATGGGTTCAAAATTTACATTACGAGTAAGTGTACATTAGTTACATTAATGAATTGTAAACAAACACAGTATGTAGTGTTCTAATTCATTTCTATTTTTTTTAGAGAAGAGTTCATTCAGTACCTGATGGCTGTGAAGAAAAAGAAAACAATGAACAAAAAAACAATGAGGTGCCAAGACGAAGTTTACGCAGCAATAGTGTAATTGAAACCCCTATCGTTCCAAAGCCAAAAGTCATTGAAGATTTACCTTTCATATCTTACAAGGGCGAAATTGTTTATTGTACAAATGCAATTGATATCTCTTTGGCTTGTGATCGACTTTTGTGAGTTTTAGTTTATATTCACAATACCAAAATTCTTCATACTTTTATTCTAATACTCATAAATTTTTTTGTTTGCTTTTCAGGGGAGAAGCAGAAAAAGCTGTCGATTTTATTCCTTTAGCCTTCGATATGGAATGGCCATTTAGTTTTAAAACTGGTCCTGGGAAGTCGGCATTAATTCAAGTCTGTTACGATATAAACATATGTTACCTGTTTCAAATTAGTGAATTATCTAGGTTACCTGGACCTTTGACGATTCTGTTAAAACATCCAAAAGTTCGGTGCCATGGCGTAAATATAAAAAAGTATTTTTCATGATCAATTTAGTTATTACCTTATATTAATATTATCAAGCTGTGTGCAATATTATCAATCATCTTTCTTCATCTGTTACTTATACTGTTATTTTTTACAGTGATTTTAGGAAACTTGAGAGAGATTATAAGGTTGACGTTGAACCTATGATTAACAATTGCATAGATTTGGGAGTGTGGTATAATGAGGTAACACTACGTAGTGGACGTTGGAGTTTAGCAAGATTGGTTGCAGAAGTGGTGAGTTAGCTTATAAATTTAATTTCAAATCAAATTGATATTGCTTAATATTACATTATTGTATTTTTTTTAAAGGTTCATTTGCAAATAAATAAGGATAAATCAGTTCGCATGAGTCAGTGGAATGTAGTGCCATTAAGTGCGAATCAACAGTTGTATGCTGCAATCGATGTATATGTAAGTAATCTTGATAGATATAAACAACTTTATATATATATAACTATTTTCAATTGTTGCTACAATTTGAATGTCTTATTATTAGTTAGCAGTTTGAAGTCTATGTAGTCAACCATGCTTTGATATTTTGTCGTAATGATGTTTTAGTATCTCCAATTATTTATTGTTTATTATAGTGTATTGCATTTTGCAAAAAGCAAAATGTAAAGTATGGTCAAATGTGATTTTACGTGATTTTTTTATATCTTAATATTAGATGTACAACTTTGTTTCTGCCGTTTTTCTGTTTTGAGTTCTCAAATAAATTGTACACCTAATACCCTCTAATAATTTTGCTTGTTTAAGAAAATATGTAACGTAGTTAAATCAGGAACAAATTGTATCATGGGATATAATTTTTCTCTTAGACTTCAAACAAATCTGAGTAGTAGTACTAGTTCAAATGTGTTCAACTTTACTAGTTATCTCTGTTATCTATAATTTTTTATCACATGTATATGTATATTTATGTATCATAATTATTGTATAAAAGAAGCCTTTACTAAGCGTGCCACTACTAAGCATCTTCATACATTTGCAAATGTTTAGAAGATTCGTCATTTTAAAACATATCTGATGACAATAGTATTTATCTTTGTACATATAGTTGTTTAAATGCATTAATCGAAGTTATATCATTAAAATCTGTGATAATATTAAATCCAATACAAGGGTTTATACATGAACATGAGTCTAGCTCTGGAGACCAATATATCCGCACCATTGTTTGCAACAAAATAAACACACACACACACATATATATATATATATATATATATATATATATATATTATATGATTATATTTATAATCATTTATTATATTTTGGGTTTCGTAACAGTAGTTCTTAAACGATTTACATTCAAAATTTACAGGATGAATTCTTTCAAGTTAAAAAAAATTTGAATTCATATAAAATTTGTTAGTTAACTCAAAGTTTAAAAAAAAATATATATATTAGTGCTTATGCTTGTTCATAAAACAGGATGTTTTATCTTGAGGCACTATGCTTTATTGTGTATTTTTATAGTGATTCAAAATTTTGAAAAGGAGGAAATTGTGTGTAGTTTAATGTTTTTGGTTATGTATAGACTTTTGTTTATAGTTGCCTGGTAAGGTGTTATTATTAATATGTGATATATTATTTACAAGTTTAATCAACTATTTTCATAAAGTTGACTTATACGTTATATCTTTGTTTTAGATTGGACAAGTGATATATTATGAAATACTAAAGCAGCAGCAAGAATTTCAAAAGGCTACTGAGGGTTTAATAAATGGCAATGATATTAAAGTGTAGCGATATATTATATTTTTATTGCATTACATAATTACATAAATTACATAAATTACATTACATAATCAATACATACATATTTTTTATAATTTATTTTAATTTTAGCATGATCTTATGAAATTTTGTGTTATTTCATTAGTTAATAATTAGTTAGTAATCGCGCCATGCGCTTCTATATAGTCGAATTTTAAATTATTATAAACAAATTTTAGCATGATTTTATATAATTTTACCTAATTTTATTAGTTAGTATTTATTGTCAAGTCATGTAATATTATATATTTAAATCTTAAATTGCAATAAATGCAATATTTTACTAAAAAAAGAGTATTTTAATTTAAGATTTTCCTTTTTAATTAACATGGCTACGCGCTGTGCTTGCAAAAAATGTTCGTAGTTACTACTAAACAATTTATAGGTACTTAACATCTATATTATATTATATACAATCTATATTATATTATTATATGTATGTGTATTATAGTATTCAAATATCTTTATTTACAAGTTTTAGAACAATAACTCTATTATATATTCAGTTAAGCCCGATCAAAATAATTACGCCCGATTCATCTTTCTAGAGACGGCGGAACGATACGCTTTCTGCATAATTTTGCGGCGACAAATTATTGAATAAAAAATTTATGTGTATTAAAATATATGATAACTAAATGCGACTTTCAAAATAATTAAAAAATATCTAAGCAAGAATTAAGTAGTATTAAGCAAGTATTCTCAAGCTTAAGTATTTATTGTCATAGACATTCTTTGTAGGCGGTGCTATATTTTTTTTCTCGAATATTAGCCGTGTCGGGGTAGTTTCACCGTGCGTTAAAACTGTTTTCCAATGTTTTGATATAATGATAAATAAATTGCAAGTTCTTTTTACTTTTTATAATTTTTCAATCTCATTTGTAGTAAAAAATATAGTTTTCGCGTTCGTTGGCAGTTTAATCAAAATGATCCAAGGATCATTCCAATGAACCTTGGAAATTTTAGCTTTGACTGAAAAAGCAGGAAAAGGTCATAGTCAGAACATTCTTGTTATAATTTACCTCTTAGAGGTCTTGAGATAATTTTGAAAAAGAATTATCAAACTTCGAGGTAAATATGGATAGTCGGTTGATTGATAGTGGCGCTTAAAAGGACTTTTAGTTCAAATGGCAAGAAGTGTAAAAATTCCCAAATATTTACTGTTCAAACACAACTGGTGTCAATGGGATAAACAATTGGCACAATCATACCCTTGCTTATAATCTTTGTTAAGTCTTCAGAAGAGAAAAAAACAAGCACATATGTACAGTTTCTTCAAAAATTTAGGAGCTAAAGCAGCAAAGAAGGAGGCGATAGCACTATTTTGTAGTAACCGATAAATAACTTCTTTCGAAAATAAATAGATTTAATTTCAAACGTCTCGATTATTTTATTTTATTTAATTTTATTTTACGAGCATATTTCATACTACATAACGAATTGTTTCGATCAGCATGTATTACTATGGAAAAACTATTTTCGCATAAAGAACTTGCTCTCGGAACTAATTAAGAACGTTAGACACCGCTGTATATTCCATTAATTGAGTTTAATTGCAATGGTGCAAATCGGGTTTCGGGAATTTGTATAATCTATATAAATATTTTATATATTATTTGAAAAGCGATAAGAACTTAAATGTCTTATAAGCTATTGTTATGATTTGGCTTAACTAAATGACAATACAATTGTCACATCTTTATATGATGAATTTTATTACAGTGGAACCTCGATTAACCGGACTATTTGTTGTCGATGGGCATTCGGATGATCAAAAATCCGGATAATCGAATGTATGAAGAATAATGTTGTGTATTTATTAAAAATAACGATTAAATACATAGATATCAACGAAAATCAATGTTTATTAAGGAAATTAACACTTCCTTATGCATGTACATACATATTTTCTTCGATTACATTACATACATGTACTAAAATGCAGCATTAATCATGCTAAGATTCGAATTGTAGGTATGTACATTAGGGTGGTCCTTAAAATGCTCATTTTCGAATTTCCTTGCTCCCAGGGGCTCAAATGGTTCCAAATTTTCTGAAAGTTTTAGCTCTTAATATTAACGTTTAGATAGAGCGCAATTCAATCAAAGTTTTGTATGGAAATAGCATGGAAAAATTTTCAAAAATTTAAAAAATGTTTTTTAGATGTAATTTAGCGAACAAATGAATGAATAAAACTCATTCATTTGTCGCTAAGTTATACCTAAAACATTTTTTTTTAAATTTTCAAATATTTTTCCATGCTCTTCCCATACAAACTTTGATTGAATTGCGCTCTATCTAAACGTTAATATTAAGAGCTAAAACTTTTCGAGAATTGTTTTTTATCTATTTGAAACCATTTGAGCCCCTGGGAGCAAGGAAATTCGAAAATGACCATTTTAAGGACCACCCTAATGTACATACATATAAATTGGTTGGGGTTGGTAGTCCGGATAAACGCAAATCCGTATAACCGAGGTCCGGATAATCGAGGTTTTACTGTATTACAATTTCTATAATAGTGATCAATGTTTTAATAGATGCAGCAATGCCTGGCGAGGGCTAATTTCAATTAGTAGTAACGTATTGCTATCTATATTTTGAAGTGAAAACATGTATCTACTGCTTGGCATCAAGCTGTCTGAGATTGGATTTAATCCGGAACTAGTTTTTGCTAGTCCACCCACGTTGATAACCAGGATGGGTTTATATAAGATTTCTCTTAACCTGTGTTTACGTTACTTTTGTTTGACGTTTTAAAAAAAACGTTTGTATTATTAACTTCCCGTAGGGCAAGTTATAGTAATCGCAAAAAAATCGAAAATGAAAATTTTTATATATCTTTACGTTTCAGAGGTTTCTGAACATTTTGGCATACCTTAGAAAAAATGGATGTATGTGTCTGTGTGTGTGTGTGTGTGTATGTATGTATGGATGTATGTACGTGTGTGTATGTATGTGCGGATACAAATTTTCGTCGACGATTTCGGGAACACGGATCAACCGATTTGAATAATTCAAAAAGCATTCGATTCGTATTGATAAGCAGACGTGCTGATTGGTTTTTGGCGAAGGCAGGTCGAGCCGTTCCAAAGATACGGGGCAAAAAGTGCCGAAAACGGTAACTCAGTTTTTGAGAGAACGAAGCGTCCGATTTTAATAATTCAAAAAACATTTAACTTGTCTTGACAAGATAAAGAATTGATCAAATTTTCATGAGGGCAGGTCTAGCGGTTTCGGAGATCTAACGAAAAAAGTAAAAAAAAATGCCATTTGGCGGTCAAAAATGATCATTAGACATATGCACATCAAATTATCAGATACTTTATAGAGATTTTAACAATAAGTATAAATTTTGTTTGCATTCCTATGGGTTCTGTACCAATGTTTATTCGTTAGACGGCGACGCGGCGCTTACGCGCTTTGACATTTTGTCTCTATGCAGTTAAAGCAGTACGCCGCTTTGAAGAAAAGTTCAGATCTTCCAAATATGCCAAAATAAAGAAAACATTGTTTTTTCAAAAAAAAAATAAAAAAAAAAATTAAATTTTAAAAAAAAAAAATTTTTTTTTCAAAAAAAAGTAATTTTTTGTCCAATTTATAGTTTCTCAAAAATCTTATTTTTTCGAAGTAAATTTTTTTTAAAAATGTCAATCGTTTTTAAAAAAATAATATATTTTGGTACGGGAAGTTCCAGCAATTTGCCTTAAGGGGTTAGGGGTACTTGGAATTTTTGAAAAATCGATTTTTATATTTTTGCATTTTCATTAAGTGTAATATCTTGAAAATGTTCTCTGAAAATTTCAAGTTGATCAGATGATTACTTTTTGAGTTATTGGACTCTTACCAGCGCGTTGACGCAAGTGGAGAGCTCGATACTTATACTCAAGATTATTCTCCCTCACATCCTGATGTTTTAAAAGCTTTTAAACCGATTTAAAACGATCTCAGCAATGATAATTTACTTTCAAGATGTGTAGTTCAAGATTGAATCCATAATCAGAAAAAATTAAGAGCTTCAACCAACTAGTCTAAAAAATATGCCTAAAAACCGTGAATACTAGTTCTACTATCGTACAAATTGCTGAATACATATACATATCATTACTATTGATTATGGGTACCCTAGGATCTAATTTTGGGTATATTCCCATTGGTATGCTGAAAAATTGGATGCTGCACGTGTGAAAGTAGCAGATCAGCGCGCCCACGAGACGACACGGGAGGGCAGAATGCTTCGTAGGCAACACCAAATGGAAATTTTGGAAACTTCCACAATGGCTGAAGAATTGTTATATGGCCCAGGAATAGATGACTCGGGTAAATAAATTAATAATTTGTATTTCTGTACGTAATCCAATGTAAAACTTTGAACGCGTTTTTCTCAAAACTATGTTTTTTGAATCGGTGACCACTGTAACTCAAAACCGCTTAGTAGATTTTAATGAAATTTATACAGCTTTTAGAATACATAATAAACTCGTGCCTGATCGAAGGATTTTTATTTTCAAAAATTTGAATTTTTTGACCAATTAACTGTTGATTTTTACCCAAAAATCTAGATTTTTTCTTTCTGATGCTGCCATTTTGTTAATTTTTGCAAAAAAAGAAAACCTTCGATCCGGCCCGGGATTAACTATTCATAAAACTATTTTTTCAATTTGATTGATTTTATGAATATCCAAGGAGTTATGATGGTCACCGCCAGAACCGTTTTTCGAAACAGGGTCAACAAAAAACAGCTATAACTTTGGGAATATTGATTTTTTTCTTCTGAAATTTTTGTTATATCAAGTCAAACATTGTATAATAATGCTGTATTAATATTTTTGTAGAAAAACATCGTTTAATAACAAAAAAGAAATACTGAAAACACTCATTATTTCCTGCCTGCAAGTACCCCTAACCCTTAAGGCACGATGCCTTAATTGCCTTAAGACAGAATTCCACTTACAGCTAGTTTTATAATCTGATTA